TAAAAAGAAACATTAAAAAGAATATTGCCCCAAATTGCAAAAGACTCTAGAGGAAATAGTTTTTTTTTTTTAAGTTCAGGACTCAGATGGCAAGGAGGGACCTGTAGCCCCTGCCTCCTAACATCCACAACAGGAGCCTTTGGCAACATTGAACGGGGGATTTGATTGGTGCCAAGGCCATGGACAGAAGTGTTCATCGGTGATCCTTCCCCAGCCACTGCCCTGACCCCTGGCATCAGCCATATCCAGCACCCTGGGAGCCAGCTAGGAGCTGTGGAGAGGGCAGGCAGAGGTGAGGCAGCCATAAGTAAGCAAGCCCCAGCTGAGGAACTTGAATGGTACCGGTTGCGTTTAAATGGCAGATCCTGGGCCTGGGGTGCCTTGAAGTGCTGCTGGACTGTGTTAGTAGTTTTAAAAGGGCTTCCTGCCCTGTTTTGATGGGAGCTTAGTGGTTTCAGAACCTGTAATTGGACAGATTTGCAAAACAAAGGTTACTTATCGGGTTCCTAGGATGGCATCTGGATCCCAGACTTTGGACTGATGACAAAGCCCTTGTACAGGACCCTTAAGGGAACACATTATGAATGCCCCTGCTTTGGGTTTGCCTGACTCATAAATAATAAGAAAAATAAAGAATGACTTAGAGTCTTAGTATACATGCTGGGGACATTCCAGAGCAGTGTATACTTCTCAAAGCCATCTACCAATATTGTGAAAGGATGGCCTCTTCGTCTCTGGGCAGTAAACAGCTACTTGTGAGTCATTATAGTACAGGACTGTTTATTCTCAAATCCTGCTATCCTTTTGCCCGCCAAAGAGAATGACACTTTTGCGGCCTCAGGGACAAGTGCCAGTAACACCAAGGGCCTACTTCAATCTTACATTATTTCAGTCTTTAAAATGCCAGGGTACTAAGTCTCAAGGGGCCTGCCTACAATTATCATATGAAAGTAGACCACCTAATGAATATTAAACAAATCTCAATGGGTGGATGATAAGCTATATAAAATTAACCTCACATCAGATATCATTCTTATATTGTTTACAGATTAATTTTCGATTTTACCATTTCATTTATCTAAATATTAATATTTTTGCAATTATGTTTTATTGCATGTCAATTTCTTTTTATCATTTGCATATATATTGTCTACTCAAAGATATTTTGGAATAGGTCTTCTCAGGTATGCTTAATATTGTTTTGAGATTGTGAGACATTTGGATACTATTAGGATCCCAGCTTCAAAACTAGGTTTGTTTCATTTTGGTTTCAGGTAGCTAGTTGTATGCCTGTCACAAAACCATTCCAGCATAAGATTGTCCTTGTATCTAAATTTGCCAGCCCTTCATTTTGATTGGTCCTCTCAAGTCGGGCCCTACCTAGACCTTTGAGTATATTTGCATTTGACAATAGCATTGATGATTGATATGCACACAAAAGTTTGGGGAAGCCTTGCTTTCAAAGGATGGATACACTCCCTTTAAGTGGATCTCTTAAATGCCTGGTAAGTGCCAGGCAAAGGACTACTTCCTAATTGTGTTACCTCATGCAGTCCTTACTGTATCCTTTCTATCATTCCCTTCTTAAGATATAGGGATTGTTTTTAAAGTATTTATTATGGAAAATATAAACACATAGGGAGAAGAAAATATTTTCCCGTCAACCTTATAGTTCATAATGGATAAACCCTGTAATAAATGAAAACAGCTTATTAACATTATGTTATATGTACATGGAGATACGCATGCGGAAATGTTGTAAATGTCAAGAGGTGACTTGAACTCAGACTTACATGCATCTTCAACTAAGAACATACACTTTTAGAGAATTGACAAGAGGAAAGAACAGGACTTTGAGTCTCTAGGGAGTCAAAATTGCAGGAGGCAAATAAATGGGAGTTGTTATGTAAGTAATCCTGGGTATCTTCTCCAGGCTGATAGTGTCTAAAGTTTTGTCCTCAATGATCAGCCTTGTCCTTCCTAATAAGAAGCAAGGTAGGATATACTTGTAAATTAACCCTTTAGTCAAAGAAAGGAAGCAGAGAGCTTATCCTTACCTGCTTCCTTCCAATTGCTTCAGCTTAGAATAATTTGGGGGTGGTATATTTTGTTCTATCCATATAACATAGATAAACTATAAATAATGATCCATATAATCAGATTAAACTCAATAAATCTTTCCTGTACCCTTCACCCAGTATAACATGTCATAGCAAACATATTCATGGCTATAATCCCCAATCATCACTTCTTCATAAACAATTTAGTAAGGTATCTCTGCAACAAAGACTCCTTTTTTGACATGTCAACAATACCTTACTCACTAAGAATATTGGAATTTTTCTTTATATCATTAACTCCAGGAAGTGTTCAAATTTCCTGCTTTACACATTTATTTTCGTTGCATTCAATTTAAAATTCTTTTTGAATCAGGATTAATAATAGTTCATCCATGTGATCGCCCATGATATGTCTTGGGTTCCTTCTCCTCCTATTCCCTTTCATTTAAACTGTAGATCTTAAAATATGATACTGGTCATCACATTTTACAGAAGGGGACAACTGAATTCAAAGATTAGTAAATTTGCCTGAAGCTTGAGTAAGCAAATAATGGCAGTGCCAATTAAAACCAGCATATTTACCTCTATGTCATTCACTATATTGGTGTTGCTGCCCTGCATTTGTCCACTTTTATTTTTGGTATTCCTTTTTAGCCTGTGTAACCAAAGAAAGAAACTATAGGCAAAACTAATCACAGTTACTTGGCCAAGGGTAGGATAGGTTGCCCAAACACACTTCCAGGTCGCTTGGGGAAGTTCCATTTAGCTTTTGTTTCAAGCTGGTTTTTATCAAAGGCACAAGGGAAAAAGGGGGGGGGGCTGTACTGTGTAGAGCGGAAACCCACAGTACCACAGAACAAAGAGACAGGGCACTGAGCGTTGAATCATCAAAAAGTTTTATTGACTAACTGGAGCTAGGGTCCAAGTCCAGAGCAGCCCCGAATACGGCGGCTCTATTGGGACAAAGACCCCGTGCACTGTGGGCAGAGCCCCTTTATTCTAGTGCAAAACCTGTCCACACGCTTGACCTTACATTGATTGGCTGGCCCCTTGTGCCCACCGGCTGATTTACATTGATTGGTTGGCCCTTGTGCCCACGCACTTGCCTTTTGTATCCAAATAAGTTACTGCTATCAGCCCGCTCAACCAACTTCTAAAAACAAGCAATATACATAGCCAAAAGAAGCCATTAGCCTGAGGCTTCACAATACAGAGTTGTTGACAGGAATTTTCCACGGTTTCCAGAAAAGAGATGTTGTTAGTGATTGGCTATGCATTGGTTGAACCATTGTGTATGGTTATGGTGTCCAGCATATGGCAGTTTAATGGTTACATTGCATCAGTCAGTCTAGAACCCACGAGCAAGTGTCTTCATATTTTAGCTCAAGAGAGAGTAAGAGGAACTACTGCACATGCTATCACATGCTGTCACATGTTCAGATGCCTCTCTGGGCCTGAATAATTAAAGGGAGCCTGCGTTCTCGATAAAAAGTTTACTTTTTTCTCAAGCCTCTTGTACTCCTGCTAATTTATTTCTAAAAATTTTAAACCCTTACATGCTCATTTGAAAGACTAACACTTAAATATAGACTACTTGACGAAGACAGAATAATGGCCAGAAAACATATAAAAAAAAGGCTCAACATTCTATCATTGAGAAACGCAATCAAAACCACAATGAGATACACCTAACCCCAGTGAGATTGGGCTCTATCAAAAATCCCCAAATAACAAATGCTGGCGATGGATGTGGAAGACAGAACATCTTAATCACGCTGGTTAGCATGCAAATTAGTGCAACCTTGTGGAAAACAATTGGAGATACTGAAAGAGCTAAATAAACTAACGCCTTTGTCCAGCAATAGCACTATTAGGCATCTACCCCAAAAGAGGCAAAAGACATTCTATAATACAGACATCTGTAACCTGAATGTTGCAAAAGGACATTCTAAATAAAGGCATCTGTACCCAAATGTTTATGGGAGGACATTCACTACTGCAAGGTGTGGAAACAATCCAAGTGCCTGTCAATTCATGAGTGATTATAAAATGTGTATAGTATACCATGATGGTATATTACTCATTATAAGAACGACAGTCGATCTAGCACCTCTTATATTTTTCTGGATTGTCTTAGCCCATTATCTGAAGATGAGGTATCACAAGATTGGAGAGAATAGGCATCAGCCTAGCTCAGAGAAACTCAACTCTCGTGGCTCAAGCAGTCTAATGCCTCAGCCTCCCAAGTAGCTGGACTACATGCATGGCACACACATGCTGGTATTTTTTCTATATATATTTTTATTTGTTTGACTAATTTCTCCACTTGTACTCACCATCAAATTGGCACTAACTGATGAACACTGTGGTGCTCACATGGTACTAATATTCTCCAGGGATTAGGGGTGGGGAGGGTAAATTCACAACTAATGGACCAGGTGAGCATTGTAGAGAGGAAGGGCATGCCTCAAAACGTTGCTTGGGTGAGGCAAAGACATAAAATGTAACCAAAATGTTTGTACCCTCATAATATTCTGAAATAAAATTTAAAAAAAACAAAATAAAATATTACTCTTGGAGACTCAGATGCCCTGCAAGAATGATGTCACTGCCCTCCAACAATAAGTTACAGAATGAAGGAAAACTTTGTTTTTGCTTGTTTGTTAGTTTAAAGATAGTAGTTTCCTAAGGACATTTGTAGCTATTAATATAAAGATGAACTACTGTCTATGCCAATCCTGGGAAATTCTTGACCAATCCTTGTGTTCTGGTTGCATGCTATAATTGAACATTACCTTTGCCACCCATTTGGAGCCTACCTATATTGCTTAGAAAAGCACAATGAATGATATTTTTATAATGTGCAGATTTTCCTAGTAGCAGAAAGATTTATCATATTTTTATGAGATTTTAAAATATTATTGTGTGCTTGTGTTTTAGATTGGAGAGTTAGTATATGTTTTGGAAGGAAATGGTATGATTCCCTTGCCTTCCCGTTTCCTTCCAATGGATCCTTCTTCTAGTCCAGTTTCCTACAGCAATACTCAAGAAGAAGGTAGAGTATTACATGTGTTTTATTTCATGTATAATGTTGAAGGATGGGGGTATTCCTCAATAGTCACCTAAGCTTCCTCATGGCAAGTTTTTTCAGCAAGTAATTAGATTTTGAAATGTCCCATTTTGACTTTATTATGTCAGCATCCATGAAATCTATTTCTAGCACCATTTTGCTAAGTTTTTTTTTGTTTTTTGTTTTTTCTTTAATTTTTTGAGACAGAGTGAGACTCTGTAGAGTGAGGAGAGTACAGTGGCATCAGCCTAGCTCAGAGCAACCTCAAATTCCTGGGCTCAAGCAATCCTGCTGCCTCAGCCTCCCAAGTAGCTGGGACTACATGCATGAACCACCATGCCCGGCTAATTTTTTCTATATATATTTTTATTTGTTTGACTAATTTCT